CATCAACAGAAAAGTATCAGGTCGACTCAATTTGAGGTATTGTTTGGATGTCGCTGGAGACTCAAATCAGAGATAATGGTGGGATCACTTCTCATGATTAGTTTTCGCGTTTGATATTTCATCCCTGCAAGTGAAGAGACTGGAATCTTTACAGATGAAATTATTTGCTTCAAAATAGTACGGGAAGGGAAGAGGCAAGTGGGAGATGAAACCAGATTGGCCACGAGTTAACACTTGATGAAGCTGGTGATGGCTACATAGGGGTTCATTATACTATTCTATCGAGTTTTGTATATATTTAAATTTTCCTTAGTGAGCAATTAAAATTTATTTATACATATAAATTGGATGTATATGAAATAAAATCTTTCTCTTTTGGGCTGATATTTTTTAGGCTGCTTTGGAAACACACAGAATGTTCTGTCTAACCTACATACTTAAATATAGCATCTAAAGACTTGCCATGAGCCGAGCTCTGTCGTTGATATTTCTATATCCATAGGTTTATACCTGCATTGAGTCAAATCCTCCTAAAAGTCCTGAAAATGAAGAAATGGAGCTGGTTCTAAATGGTTATGTTTCCCAAAGTCACTAAGCTACTAAATGGTGAGTCTGGGTTTCAGCTATCATATGCTTAAGTGCCATCGAGTTAGGATCCGACTCATAGTGATCCCGTACAAGGTTTCCAAGGAGGAGCTGGTGAGTTAGAACTGCAGGCCATAACGGCCCACCCCGACATTGCAGTTTACCACATTAACCGGCAACGCCACACCAGAAGCATTCATTGAAATCACAGTGAGGTCTAGGTTCATCATAAATGATCCTGGAAGGAAGCTTTCCCTGAGACGACAGAATTGAGAGGATGTGGGCTTCCTGACCTGCCCCAGTCAGAGGATTCTCGTCAGCAGCACCTGGCTACCTCTGGGTCCAGTGGGGTCCAGGGATGTTTGTTTGAGAGCTGGAACCCACACTGTGCTGTCACCCACTGTTACTTCTGGGTTTTTAGCTCCACTCTAGTGCCTACATTTCTTTCATCAGAGCCATAGAAATAGACCTCCAAGTTGCAAATTGAATCCAAACCTCCCATAAATCAGCTACATTGTATTCCAGTCCAGCATAGAGCCACTCACCCAGTGTCCCATCCCAACTTTTCCTTCTCTAGGAGAATCAGAGGAAAAGCACATCCAGGGGCACTCTAAGGAGGTAAGGACAATCCTTTGGCTACATCTTTACTCCTCCTGAGAGTGCATCCACAGTCCCAGGGGCACAGAGCTGGTGCATCCCGAGAGATGCAAAAGCAGGCTGACCACCAGGTCCAACAAGCATAGAGTGGACTCCCCCTGTGTGCCAGGCCTGCTGTCACATGGGGATGCTGAGTTAATAAGTCAGGGTCCAGGTCCTCAGGGAGCTCTCAGCCTGGTACTGGGGACACATCAGCATGACAAACAAAACTGGCCATGGGTATACAAAGGCGGCGTGGGCCTGAGCAATCCAGACGGGCTTCCTACAAGAGGTGATGTCTGAGCTGGGCCTGCCAGGAGAAAGAGGATGGGCCATTCCCAGCCAAAGATGATGTGAGTGTGTCTTAGTTACCTAGTGCGGCCCTAACGGAAACACCGCAGATGTTGTTCTCGAGTTGGCTGCCACGCATAGCCACCTGATACACAACAGAACGAAACACTGCCCAGGCCTGACCATCCTGATGATCGTAGCTATGCCTGAGCCCAGTGTCGCTGTCACTATGCAAACTATCTCGCTAGCGGTCTTCCTCTTTTTTCACTGGCCTTCCACTTTACCAAGCATGATGTCCTTCTCCAGGGACTTGATAACATATCCAAAGTATGAGAGACCGAGTTTCTCTATCCTGGCTTCTAAGGAGCATTCTGGCTGTACTTCTTCCAACACAGATTTATTTGTTCTTCTGTCAGATGCTATTGTTAAATGCTATTGAGTCGGTTCCGACTCTTAGCAACCCTGTACAGGGTTCCAAGGAGCAGCCAGTGGGTTTGAACTGACTGCCTTGCAGTTAGCAATCCAGCGCTTACTCTACCACACCACAGGTGATTTAAGGAGCAGAAATCAGGGCATTGTCTCTGCTTGCCAACAGCCCTGGGAGTTCCCTGGCTTGTAGTTGAGTTCTCTGTGTTTCCACGTCTCGGTTGCTCTTTTTATAAGATATCACTCTTGGTTAGGGTTAGGAGACAGCCTCCTCCAGTATGACCTCAGTAACCTAATCAATGAAAAGCCCTGTTTCCAAATAGGGTGAAAAAAATTTTACTTTTGAGTTGATTCCTACTCATGGCAACCCCATGTGAGCCGGAGTGAAACTGTGCTCCAGGGTTTTCAGTGGCTGGTTTTCTGAAGCAGACTGCCAGGCCATTCTTCCAACGTGCCTCAGAACCGACTCAAACTTCCTACTTTGTTAGTTCGAACCAAGGAATTCACAGGCTCAGGGGTAAGGATTTCAATCCAGGATAACGTGCAAAGACACCAAACAGGACAACATCGACTGCTAAGCACAAGGTTGGCAGTTCAAACCCACCAGCCACTCAAAGGGGAAAAGATGAGGTTTTCTGTTCCTGTGAGAATATTCAGCCTCAGAAACTTTATACAAGGTCACTATGAGTTAGAACCAACTTAAGGGCACTTAGTAATTACAACAGATTCTTAAATAGCATTCAAGTAAGCAGCACATATAAGAAGCCTTTGTAAGAATTCTTGGGATCTCTGGGTGGTACAAACAGTTAATGCTGATTGGCTGCTAACCAAAAAGGTCAGAGGTTCAAATCTACCCAGAAGTGCTTTGGAAGAAAGGCATGACCATGTACTTTTTAAAACTCAGCCACACAAAATCGTACGGAGCACATTTCTGCTCTAACAAAACCGAGTTAGTATTAACTCAATAGTGAATGGTATTTTATTTTTTAATGATCAAAACCAGAGATCCACCCACCCACCCACCGAGGTAAGTGCTGTCGTGTTAAGTCAGCTCTGCCTCACAGTGACCCTGTATAGGGGTTCCCACAGCCGCAAATCTGTATAGGAGCAGAAAGGCTCTTCTTTCTCCAGAGGAGTACCTAGTGGATTCAAACTGCTGATCTGTGCTTAGCAGTCCAATGTGTTACCCACTACGCCACAGAGCTCCTTCCCCAAAGCAGAGAAATTATTTAAAAAGCTTTTCTTCCTCCAGCTTGGTGTAGCGCAGCCAGAACTCAAAGCACCTTCTAGGCTGTGCAAAAGATGCAAGAAATGGATTTGGGAATGGGAGAGCCAGCTATAAACAAGGCAAACTGGGAGGACAGGCAGGACTTGGGGAGGGGTGGAGGGTGGAGAACGAGGTAAAGGAGGGGTAGAGGCAAGGCACAAAACCAAGAGGACGGGCACTGGGGATCAGACGCAGGGCAAAAAAGACATCTGTTATTGTCCGTGTCTTCCATCAAACCATCGGCAGGGGACAGGCAGTACATGCAGCCAATCATCATGTCTCTCAATATTTAAAGCAAAACATTTCATTCAACCAGAAACAAACTACCACTGCCCTCCCACCCCCAATCAACCAGCATCAGCATTCTATGCACAGCTACTTAGATGTTGCAGCTGTTTTCCATGCCAAGGAGCTCTGGTAGCATAGTGGTTACAAATCCGGCTGCTAATCTCAGGGTCGGCAGTTTGAAACTACCAGCGGTTCCGCGGGAGAAAGATGAGGCTTTCTGTTCCCATAAAGATTCACAGCCTCAGAAACCCTATACAGGGTCACTATGAGTCTGAACTAACTCCACAGCACATAACAACAACTGGGTCCTGAGAATACACACATCATAGCTAAGCCATCAGAACCTTCCTGCTCCAGACACTCAAAAGTGGGAAAACACAGGAGATAATCAGATCCCATCCCTGTCTGGGCTCTTCACATGCTGGTGGGAAAGCCAGGGGCAAGGCTACCTGCAACAGTAAGAGTGAGACAAGCCGGCACATTTTGAGATACAGAAAGTCACTGTGACCCAGCCATATCCTTTCTAAGTGCTGCTTTTAAAATGAAAGACTGACTACAACAGTGAATTGGCAATGGTCCATGATTTATTCCTACAGATAGATTCTCTAAAAGTGCATTAAAAAGGAGTCCAGACTGTGATGATTGATACAGGTACCAGCTTTTGAAAGTTCATCAGTGGAGTCATTCATACAATCTACAGACCTTGTGAACTATGGGTACTCTCTGATTTTTCCATTTTCCTCTATCCCCTCCTCAGCCTACGAGAGCCTAAACATTCACTTAACCCAAATAAAAGAGGAGACTCTAGAGCGATGATTGCGAAAGGACACAGGCTAAGACATATATTTTTTTCCTCCCCTGAGCTTTATAGACCACGATTTAATTCATTTGCCACCCCGCTCCCCAACCTATCCCATCCCCTAATTCTTTTATTCCATTCCTCAATGTTAACTTCTAGGACCACCAAGAGAGGTTGTAAGCATGTGTCTATACAATCCCGGGGGTGATACAAACTCAGACTAAGATGTGAATTGTTGTTTCAGTAAGTCAGCTCTACTCATAGCAACCCTATATAGGGTTTCTGAGGAGCTACTGGTGGGTTTGAGCTGCCAACTTTGTGGTTAACAGTTAAGTGCCTACCCTACAGCAGCACACCAGGGCTACAAAGATGTGAGTTTGTTGTTGTTGTTAAATGCCATTGAGTTGGTTCCAACCCATAGCGACCCTCATAGGGTTTCCAAGGAGTGACCAGTGAGCTTCAATCACCAACCTTGTGGTTCAAATGACTTTGCAGCCCAGCGGATTAACCCGCAGTGCCACACCAGGACTCTGACATCGAATGGTACCTGCTAAATCTGAGTCTCGGGTTGTTAAATGCATGGTCCTGAAACTAGCTGGAAATGGGAGAATTTTCCCCTGAACCTTCTCTACCAAGGAGCGAACACTCCCTGCCCATCCCACACTCCCTGCCCATCCCACACCGAGAAGAGATAAAGGACTATCTTACCATCTGCCTTCTGTTCTCCACGAGGTGCACGCCAATAATCCCTAAGAAAGATCCGAAGCCCAGCTAAGACAAAAGGAAAAACAAGAAAGGAGAAAACACTCCAGGTTAGCATGCCTGACGGCTTCATAGTAACACATAACAGTAAAGAGGGAACAGGACACTGCTCATAAAACAATCAATGCAGTAAGGCCAGCCATTCCCACCTTATGAAGGATTCAGTGTGCTTACTCAGAGTTAGGTGAATGAACATAGTCTCCAAGGAGCTGATAAAATATGACCCACCTGACTTTCCTCGGTTTACATCGTTTAAATGCATTCATCAGTTCAACCCGGTTCAGATCATTTAAATGCATTCATCAGTTCAACCGATTCTGACAGTTTAAATGCATTCATCAGTTCAACTCTTGATGATACAAAGTGAGGACAATGTACACTGACTGCTGTGTGGATTCCAACTTGTAGGAACTCTTCAGGACAGAACAGAACTGCCCAATAGGGTTTCCAAGACTCTAAGTCTTTCCAGAAACGGAGGCTAGGTCTTTTCTCTCTCAGAGCAGTGGAGTGCTTAATCACTATGTCACCAGTTCCTCCTGACAACCCCATACAAGAGACAATATCTTCATAGCAAACATACAAAGGAACCATCGAGTCGACTCCCCACGGCTGCCCCAAATGAGTCAGAGGAGAACTGTGCTCCACGTGGTTTTCAAAGGCTGACTTTTAGAAGTGGATTGCCAGGTGTTTCTACTGAGGCACCTCTGGTGAACTCAAATCTCCAACCTTTCACTCAAGCAGTCCAGCACATTAATCCTTCACACCACCCAGGGATTCCAACTTCTTAGCTGTTGTTGTTCATTGCCATTGAGCCGGTTCTGACCAATAACAACCCTGTACGGGGTTTCCAAGGGTTAACGGGTGGGTTTGTACTGCCAACCCTGTAGTTAGCAGTCCAGTGCTTTTCCTACAGCTCTGCACCAGGACTCCATTTTCAAAGTAACCCAGAGCAATTCATCACCAATCTTCTACACATCTGGTTATGAAGTAAGGAACCAACCTAAATTGTCTTCTGTTGGACCTAGCTGAAGTCTCCTCATTCCTAATATCTCTTCTTGAAGTGAGATTTTAGGAAACTAAAACACAAGTGTATTTCCAAAGAAATATTACACACTAATCCTATGACACTTAAGGAGGTCTGATTAGAGATTCACTTAACTGTCTCTTTGAATTCAGCTGAACAAACAGAATGGGAAATGTTAGCGAAGGTAAAGAATGACAGGAGGGAGGCTCAGGCTTAGAGCCAGGAGCACGGTCCAATGTGGACGCCAGGAAAAATAAAAGAAATAGGAAGCCCCTCCAAGGTGAGAGGACAGAAGCAAACGGGAAGGGCTCTTCTGAAGAACGTTCTGACACATGTTACAACATGGATGGACCAGGAAACCAGTGTGCTGAGTAAAATAAACGTTGGTCACAAAAGGACAATATTATATGATTCCACTTATATGAAATAACAAAAATAGGCAAAATTACAGAGACCACTGTTCATTAGTGACAACCAGGAGTTCTGGTGTGGCGCTGTAGAATAAGTACTGGACTGCTAACCAAAAGGTTGGCAGTTCAAAACCACCAGCTGCTCCTTGGAAACCCTATACAGAGTCATTATGAGTCAGAACTGGCTCCACAGAATTTAACCACCACCACCACCAGGGGTGGAGGGGCGGGGGAGGGAAAGAGTCATTGGTACGTTTCTGTTTGTGGTGATGGCACATTTGACCATAGTTGTACAACAAGATTAATGCAACTGGCATCACTAAATTAAACACCTGAAAATTGTTGCATTGGTAAATGTTATATTATATTTGAGGGGGCTTCAGAAAATGTGTGTGTGTGGGGGGGGGTGGAATTCCAGTATCTTTAATTCCATTTTTCCATGAACTTTTGAAGGCCCTTTATATTTTCACCACAATAGAAGAAGAAGAAGAAAAGGAAGAGGAGGAAAAGGGGAAAGAAGGAAAACAACCAGAAGGAGAAAGGGCTCTTTTGAAGAATCCTCTGGTTCCATGTGTAAGTCTCACGATTCTGGTATACTGAAGAAAATGTACATGAGGGGGTGGTGGCTCGAGACAACAAAGTTGAGTATTATAATGAAGTCTGCAAAGATCTGAAGTTAGAAAACCAAAAAGTAAGAACATGCTCAGTAGTTCTCAAGCTTCAAGAACTGAAGGAAAAAGTCAAGCCTCAATTTACAATATTGAAGGATTCTACAGGCAAAACTCCTGATTAATGTGCTGCACTGCAAAATCGTTTGAACTGCAAGGTTGGTGGTTCAAACTCACTAGTTGCTCCTCAGAAACCCTGTACAGGGTTGCTATGGGTTGGAATTGACTCAACGGCACTTAACAACAACAAATGGACAAAATATTGAATGATGCAGAAAGCATCAAAAGAAGATGGAAAGTATACACAAAGTCACTGTTCCAAAAAGAAATGGTGGATGTTCAACCATTTCAAGAGGTAACAACATACGATCAAGAACCTATGGTACTGATGGGTGATATCTAAGTTCACTGAAGGCATTGGCCAAAAAAACCAAGGTTCTAGGAAGTGATGGACTACAAACTGAAATCTTTCAACAAACTGATGCAACACTGGAGGCACTCACTCACTTGTGAAGAAATTTGGAAAAGATCCATATTTGTATCCATTCCAAAGAGAGATGACCCAAGAGAATGTGGGAATCACTTAACAATATCATTAATATCACATGCAAGTAAAATTTTGCTGAAGTAATTCAAAAATGGTTCCAACAATACACTGAATGAGAACTGCCAGAAATTCAAGCTGAATTCAGAAGCATATGTGGAATAAAGGACATCATTACAGATGTTAGGTGGATCTTGACTAAAAGCAGAGAACAACAGAAAAGTGTTTACCTGTGCTTTACTGACTGTGCAAAGGTTTTTGACTGTGTGGATCATGACAAGTATGGACAACATTGCAAAGACTGGGTATTCCAGAAGACTTGATTAAGCTCATGAGGAACCTGTACATAGACCAAGAAGCAGTTATTAGAACCAAACAAGGGGCCACTGAATGATCTAAAATCAGGAAAGGTGTGCCCCAGGGTTGGATCCTTTCAAAACACTTAATCTGTATGCTGAGCAAATAATTTGAAAAGCTGGAAAGCATGAAGAAAAACATGGTATCAAGATTGAAGGAAGACTCATTATTAACAACCTACAATATGCAGATGATACAACCTTGCTTGCTGAAAGTGAAGAGGACTTAATATATTTACTGATGAAGATCAAAGACCACAGCCTTCAGTATGGATTGCACCTCAGTGTAAAGAAAACAAAAACCCTCACAAATGGACCAGTAAATAGCATCATGTTAAATGGAGAAAAGATTAAAGTTGTCAAAGGCTTCATTTTTCTCAGATCAACCATCAACACTCACGGAAGAAGCAGTTAAGAAACCAAAGGCTGTATTGCATTAGGCATGCTGCATGAGACCTCTTAAAAGTGTTCAAGAGCAATGATGTCAGCTTGAGGACTAAGGTGTGCCTGATCATGGTATTTTCAATTGCCTCATATGCATGTGAAAGTTGGACAATGAATAAGGAAAACAATAGAAAAACGATGCATTTGAGTTATGGTGTTTGTTGTAGAAGAATATTGGGGAGCACGGTGGCTCCACACGATGAAAACTGGGCTGCAAACCACAAGGTCCGCTGTTCGAGCCCACCAGTCGCTCCGTGGGAGAAAGAAGAGGCTTTCTGTTCCCACAAAGATTTAAAAGCTTCAGAAACCCTGTACACAGTCGCTGTGAGTTGGAACCAACTTGAAGGCACGTAATAATAACAACAACACAAGAACATTGAAAGTACTGTAGACAATCATAAGAACAAACAAATCTGTGTTGGGAGAAGTGCAGCCGAATGTGCACGAAGCCAAGACGATGAGACTTCAGACACGTTACCAGGAGGGACCAGTCCCTGGAGAAGGACATCATGCTTGGTAAAGTGGAGGGTCAGCGAAAAAGGGAAAGGGCGGCGATGAGATGGATTAGCAACAGGCTCCAGTGTAACAACAACTGTAATGATGGTGTGTCTGTGGGCAGTGTTTTGTTCTGCTGCACACAGAGTCGCTATGAGTCAGAACCGACTGGACAGCATCTAACAAGTGTACCTTGGTGGCACAACGGTTAAATGCTCAGTTGCCACCCAAAACGCTGGCAGTTCAAACCATCAAATCTTTTCTCTCTGTAGGAGACACCAATCTGATGATCTGCTTCCACAAAGACTCGTAGTGGTGGTGGGCCGTGGAGTCGGGTCTGATTCATAGTGACCCTGTCTAGGGTTTCCAAGACTGTCCATCTTTACAGGAGCAGAAAGTCTCATTTTCCACCCAAAGAATAACTGATAGATTCGAATGGTTGACCTTGCAGTTAGCAGTTCATCAGAGTAACAAAGGCTACTATAAAGATAAAATATACACTATTTGTAAAATGTTGATAAATAAGGGTGCCAAAATATTTTTATCCTTGCTAAAAATGGTATCATTGTTATTAATTGTTTTGATCGTAGCTAATGAGAGTAATTGTGACAAAATACTAATTTTAAAATTAATTTTAAACCTTTAAAAAAAAAATCTTAGTTTACCACTTGATACAACAATTCAAAGTTCAGGTTCATAGCTGATAGACGTCATTCCAATAGAGATACACGGTGCACAATGTAGACATTTGGGGCAAATTTCACTTCTAGCAAGCTAACCAAACCAATTGTCATCAACTTGATGCGGATTCCGGGCTACCCCATGCATTACCATACAGTTGTCTTGGGTATAATCCTTAACAGAGCAGATCACCTGGTCTTTCTTCTGAGGATCACTGGAAGCTGTCAACCTTTCAGAGAGTAGCCCAGCAAAAACCAATTGTGCCCTCTTGGACCATTTGCTAAAAACTGCGGCTGCTGCTGTGTGCTGTGGAGTCGGTTCTGACTCATAGTGACCCTGTACAAGGCTTCTGGACTCCTGGTATGGATCCGGGTAGGATCAGCACTG